TATACAAACACAAAAATAATTAATTGCACTCGCCCAGCCCGGTCTCTCCTCGACCCCCTCTAATAAATGCGAATGAAACTGAAAACTCGAGTCGGAACCAGTGCCGCAACACTTCAAATACCCTCTCTACTCTTTATACACCATACAATATATATGTATGTGTGTGTGTACATGTGCTAGTACATACACATGTGCATATGTATGTACAGCCTTAATTTTTCTTCAAACCTTCGAAGTACCATCCATACGTATACATCCGTAAATGTACCATCCAAATGCAGGGATCTAATATACGAGTGTAGACTCGTAATCCTTGAGCACCGGGAGTAGAGACAAGAAGCAGCAGCCTGCTTATCTGCCTTAGAAAGGCCACCGTCAAAGGTCAGATTTGTATGCGCCTCCAGTTGAGCCCCAAATCAGGGATGAGGGTAAACAGATCTGCCTGTGTGCACATATGTACGTACACACAAAAATACATGTACCCCCTGTACATACATATGTACATGTGTATTTCTAAAGTGAGCAAAGTGCGTAATTTCACACTCTCTGAGCAAGGCATTCCTAATGTTAAAGCTACCTATCAAATAATTTTAACATAAGATTACATTAAGGTACACATGTACGTAAGTATGTACATACAGATACAAGGCATCCGTTGCCTCCGACTATATCTCGTAAAATGATGAAAAGTATAGTTTCGATGAAGCCCTACTGAGCATTTTGTTCCACTTTAAACACAGCCTCAGTCACCAAGTGAGCGCTAAGCGCAAAAACATGGATAACATACTTTCAGGCAGTCAAAACCAGTAAAGATCAATAGCATAACGATCGATAAGAAACATTTATTTTATAAAAGCAATAATAGAAGTCAGATATGGCTTAGAACTGCCCCTAAAGCTTAATTTGTTTAGACACTCTTGTGGACGAGCTTGCTGCGTATGGACTCATCCAGAGGGGGAATCGCATCGCGAGGTATCAGGAACGTCGACAGGTTGAACAGATCCAAGAATACTTTGTACCGATCACTAGAAGCGCGCACACAAAAATATCAATGGAGCTCAGTGGGCGTTGTTAGCGCCGATCGGGGCATTACCTGAGAGTGGAGCGAAGATATTGATACCCGGATGAGCCACCGGTGCCCAGCTGCTGGGATCCAATCATGCGTTGAACCATGATTACGTGGTTGTCTGCAGGGAGTGCGAAAAACAGCTTAGTAGCAGGAGTTATCAATATCGATGCAACAACGAAAAAACTTACAGCGCCACTTGGTGATCAGCGAATCGATGTCCATGAGCAGGGTGAGCAGCTGGTGGGGCTGACTGAAGCGCGGCTCGTCACGGTAAAAGGTGATCATGATGGCTCCCTGGAGGGCGCGGTGGCTGAAGCGGCGATCGCCGCGCTTCACGAGAGCCTCGTGCACGGCGGGGTCGAAGATGGAGTGGTAGACCTCGCGCCTCTTCTCAATGTCCATCAGGCGGTAGTTCTTGGCCCGCTCCACCGGCTCCTCCATGGCGCTCTGCACCTGGGCGGCCAGGAACTGGTCGACGCTCTGCTGGAACTTCTTCCAGAAATCGAAACCGCTCTCCTCCAGGCCGGGCGTCCGCTCCAGCCATCGCTGCACTAGTTCTAGCAGCGAGGGCTCGTGCTCGGAGCTCCTGATGGCGTTCAGAGCCTGCTCGTCGGTCCTGAAGACGTCCGAGTACTTCTGGTTGTACCTCACACGCTGCTCGGTCAGTACGCCCAACTTGTTCTCAATCAGCCGAAACTGCAGCGACTGAAAGCCCGAGGCCGGCGCCAGGTACTTTCGAAAGTCCATAAAGTCCAGTGGCGTCATGGTCTCCAATATGGGAACCTGGTCCACCAGCAGCTTCTCAGTATAAATTCGATAATGTTAGTAAAACCTGGGATGAGCTATAGCCTCTCTTTAGCAGCTTTAAGGGTATCAATTTTAAGTTTTTACATGAAAAACTGCACAGAAAGGCTACTTTCAAGTCATAAGTAGGTACATGGAAAATACTTTAAAGCTGGGCTCGGCACGGACCTATCTATTGTGTATAAGACAAGGCTCTGCCGCTGCGCTGCCGCTCACGTACACTCGTATTACAGTGCTTTGCACCAATACCAAAACATTGAAATGTTCCGTTTTCGTGACACACAAACGCAAAAATGGCTCGTTCATTGTATGGGTGCCGAGCCCTGCTTTAAAGAGACATTGTGGAGAAGACTGCATAAATGATGTGTCTTAACAATCAACTAAAATATGTTGTAGCATTTACATAATATGTACATATGGACCCTATTCCATCTAAAATGAATGGCTCCTGCGCCAGTTTCTTACTTTCAGGATGAGGACAACCCGATTCAGTCGCTTGACGATCTCTAGAGTTTTTGTCTCGTCGATGACCTCCGCGTCGAGCATGTCGCGAATGGAGTCGAACTCGAAGATAATCTGCTTGAACCACAGTTCGTATGCTGACCGACAGAAAGAGAAAAATAATTGTAAGCGTGGATGGAGAATCTGGTTTGAATGGTTTGAATTGGATTTAAGGTGATGCTTTACCCTGGTGCGTGATGATAAACAGATGCTCGTCGTGGACCGGTTGCTTGTCCTCCGTGGAGAGCATACACTGGGCATCCAGCAGCTTGTCAAGCATCAAGTACTCCCCGTATATCTTGCCCACCTCCGTGGACATCGGCACCGCAGCATCGTCATGGTCGTTTCTGTAAGAAAGTCAGCGAAAAGTCTGCACGTGTTCTCAAGCCATGGAGATGGAATAGCCTACCCGTTTCCTGCAAAGGGACAGCTCATTATAATTACAGTACCGCAGTTTGTAGCAAGCCGAGTGGCGTACGCGGACAGACTAAACCAAGCCCAATCCCAGACCGGAACCCAGGCCTGGCGATAACAAAAGCAAGAAAAGAGCAGCAGCCACGGCAGCAGCAGTCCCAGCGGCAGCGGCTGCGGCTGCTGACGCCCAGTTCCATCTGATTGCACAGTCGCTGATCTGTCGATCAGTTGAATAGCAGATCAGCGCTTTGCCAAGAGTACAGACCCGTCCGGCAATTGAGTTGATTATCAGGTGCTGGAGGTGAAAGTGCGGCCATCACTTTGGTTTACAAAAATTTGTTCATGCCCGTAGTTTGTTTCTTCAATTCTTGTTCCGATCTATTGATTTACTGCAAACGACAAAACAAAGTTTTTTGTTTTTCTTAAAAATTTTCAAACTTATGATCAAAGTTTACGAAAACATAAAAAGTATGTATGTATGTAAATGTGCTCATACATAAAAATGTATGTATGTAAGTATTTATGTTTAGAACATAAGCTTGAAGCCTAAAAAAACAAAACATAAAACCATTCAAAAATCTTTCCCGTAATTACGTACAGTTTCGGCTAATTTTTGAAATATACTGGTTTCAGTGTGAGCATACAGCAGTCTAGAGCCAACATTTGGTGCCTCTAGCTCTTATAGTCTCTGAGAACTAGCCGACAAACAGACGGACAGACGGAGGGACTGACAGAAAAGGCTCTGTCGACTCGGTTATTGATGCTGATCAAGAAAATATATACTTTATTGTGTCTGAAAAGTTTCCTTCTGTGCGTTACAAATGTACATCAACTTTGTGCACAAATTCAATATACCCTATTTACTCTTCGGGTACCTGGTATAAAAACGTCAGACGTTGTTGCCAGGTTAATTGGTGTCATAAAAATCGATCGGTGAACTTAATAAATGTAATAAATGACTCCAACCAATTTACGGGATAACAATATATCCATAGCAGGATTCCACTAAATAATAAACCAAAGTAAGACGCTTATTTGTTTCCCATTTCTGTATTTTTCATATATTTCTGGTTTTGTTTTGTGTTTAAAATGTATTTTGAGTCATTTACCCAGTCATTTATTGGTTGAAATTTGCTTTATATATTTATGTTCTCATGCTCGGGCCACTCGCATCAATTTTTAACTATGTATCGATGTTCCAACTCCACGCCGTTCTCGTTTCCCGCTCGGGTTCTTACAATATTTTCCATGCAACCTATACATGTAACATGCAGGTATTCATTATACATTCTGTAGAAATATGTATATACATATATGCATGAATGCACATACTTATGTACACATGTATATATGTACCTTATATCTTAACTATAACAATATTCCCCTTACAGCTTTTCTTTCTTTGCTCTTTGTGTGTCCAATTGTATTTTCAATTTGTTATTTTTGCATGCTTAAAATAATTTTCATTTTCAATTTTCACATAACATTGTAATGTTGTATTTTTCGTACATACGTACATACATATTAACGCAATTTCGATTGGATTTCGAGGACTTGGGATTAGGGAAATTCTCTTAGACTTTCTTTGCATCCATGTACATATGTATGCATTTATGTATTTCATATTTCCATACACGCTCATGTCCATAAGCTTACATACGTGTGTACATATGTACATACATATGTGTATGTATATACGTTTTGCTCTCGCTCTAATTCCTTTTCCGTTTCGCTCTATTAATAATGTGTTAATTCATATTAATATTTGTAAGTATGTATACATAAATATGTATATGTACATACACATATACAAACATATATGGAAATCGCAAATAACAAAAATTGGACTGCCCAAAATTCACGTTAGTTAACATCTATCATTTATCGTTAGAAGCTAATCGTCCCTTATAAGTATATGGTTTGTGGGTTTGTACGTGTATATATGTATATGTATACATATGTACATACATACATATCTGCATATGCCAGAGCACGAAGTCGAATATGAGGGGCGCATAACGAACAAATACGACTTCGTGCTCTGGCATATGTAGATATGCATGTATGTACATATGTATACATATACATATATACACGTACTCACTTCATTGCGTTGTCTTTGTTCGTGTTACAGTTCGTTTCCGTTTCCGGCTTAGTACATTATCGGTAATTCCTATCAATTTATTGCACTAGTGTTATTGTTATCGATTATCGTTTGTGTTTGCTTTCAATAATTTCAGTATTTTTTGTTCTGTCTAGGTATGTATGTATATGTAAATAGATATACTTATATATATATACTTATGTATGCACTATGTATAGACGTTAACACAATATCTGAATCGAAAGATATTATTTTTCATATTTGTATACAATACTCGCACATACTTACATACGATAAAGAATATATACGGTATGTATATTTTTATGTATGCATAGTTGTACTTACATACATCTGTGTACGTACCTGCATACAACCATACATAAATTCAAACATATATACATGGCTGTACAGTTTTTTATTGACGGTTGTATGTTCATACATATGTACATATGAAGGCTTCTGAGCCATTCTGGACCGCAGGCAAGTTTTTGGCACTGTTACTCTCATTGGAGGAGATGCAATGGGTGGGAATGGTGTTGATGATGAGTGCACGTTGTGATGGCAGATCTACGAATGAAGAACAAACAAACTAACGCACACGGATTGCAGACTTAACATACAAATATACATATGTATGCACATACAGTAAATGCACATACATATATACATATGTACATATTACTGTGTATATATATTAATGTATTAATAAAAAAAACAATCTTAAATAAATGTATTTTAATCTATCGTATTAACAATAATGATGCATAAGAATGCATCATGCAGCTACATTTAATATCATATAATATGTTCATATGTACATACATACATATGTACATATAGGCTAATTTATTATCAAATGTACGTACATACATACATATGTACAAACGTACACATGACCCTACATGCAGACATATATATGTATATACATACATATGTACATACATACATATGTACATACTTATATACATACATAAAGTTAATATTCGGAAGATTTAGTTATAACCAAATTCACGTTTCCTTGACAAAATTTGTATATTAGTTAAAACAAAACCAAAATGGTAAAAAAAAAATGTGTGAGGTGTGTTTATGCATTAATGTATGTATGTACATATGTATGTATGTACGTATATGAATGTATATGTATATATTTGGTTAATCCGTTTTACGTTTTACTTTGCTAAATGTAATTTGAATAGCTTATAGTTCATAATAATAAAAAACTGTTCTTTTTTTTTTGTTCTTGTGGTTGTTTTTGCATTACTAGCACCCAGCACGTACATGCTCGAAATAAATTCATATGATTTGGTTGTGTTTTGGTTTACATTTTCCCCGCCTTTTCCGTTCTACACGTACATACATATGTAAGTACCTACTCCATTTGTCACTCTAGACTCTAGAGTCTAGACTCTATACTCTAGAGCAATAACTTAAAGTTCATTTTTGGTGTATATTTTCAAATATATTATTATTTGCTTGATTAATTTCCCGCGTATTTATTTATTATGTATACATACATAGGTATATACATATGTATGTCTGATTTTAATACGACTATTCCTAAAAAGGTTAGTTTTTTAGTTTGCAAACAAAATGCTAAGGGACAGACGTACACAAGCGCACAAGTACACACACACGCAGCCATCGACACAGACACAGACCCAGTCACACATATACATACATATTTTTGTATAGTAGATACATTCAGACATGAAGACTCACGCGGAAACTGGTGAGAGAATACGGTTACAGAGCATTGTTCAGGTTTCACAACAGTGGAATAAATGACTTAATGACGCTCGCTAGGATCAACTCAAGGGCAACTTAAATCAGCGTGGGACTAACTGGGACTCGCCAGGTGGTGGCGGGCAGGCGCTCATCTGCCGCTGACGCTGCCGCCGTCCATTCCTCCGGTACCCAAGTGCACTGAAGTAGCCGACAACTCGACGCGTTGACATTGGCGGCGCTCGACGATGATCGCCGCTGGCAGCGACTATTCGAGCGCGGGTCATACGTTCATCGCGTAGTACACGGATCCCTGTACATGTGGCTGGGCCTGACCCCCTACTCCGATTCCAACCTGCTGCTGTTGCTGTTGTTGCTGTGCCGCTGCTGTTGGGGAGACCATGGTACTGCAGTCACTGTGGGAAACAGTGGCGGCTCCCTCGGGTACTCCACGTTCGCTGAAGCCCGGAATGCTACCCTCCGTCCCGAACTGATAGTGCTGTGACATCAGTCGCTGTTGCTGCTGCTGATGCTGGTGTTGCTGCTGTTGCTGCTGCTGATGCTGCTGATGCTGCTGCTGCTGATGCTGCTGCTGCTGCTGCTGATGCTGCTGCTGCTTATGCTGCTGCTGATGCTGCTGCTGGCCGTAGTGTGCGGCATGGCCGTAGTGTGCGGCATGGCCGCTACCACTAACCACATGCAGTTGCATACCTGGAAGGGCATACCCGATGGGCACCCGTATTGTTTGCTGAGTGACCTGGGAGCGGACAGAGACGATGGGGGACAGAAAGTTGATGGAAATTGGTCGAAGCACTCGCTTGCACTCACCTGCTGGTACTCCAGGATGTTCTGGTGCTGAATGTGGGCCAGCTTGGGGTCCCCGCTACTGCTGGTGGCAAACTGTGAGTATGTCTCCGCGTTGTACGGTATCAGCACCATGGTTTGGTGGTAGTTTCTCAGAGGCGGCGGTGACTCCGGCCGCCGGGTGGGGCTGCGTGCAAAGTGGCTACTGTAGCGGCTGTGCTTGCTCTGCTCGATGGCCGTGGCAGTGGCCGTGGCCGTGACGCTCTGACAGTTCTGGGCGGAAGCCGCTGCAAAGAGGAGCGAGGCATCATCGCCGGCCGCTTCCTGCTGGATCATCGTCTGGCGGAACATCGCGCCGGCGGGCAGCGTCTGGTAATAGGTCTGATGAACGGCGGAAGCGTCGATGGGAAAGCGCTGCTGCTCCCCGGTCTCGCTGTAGAAGCTCCAAGTGCGCTGTTCTGTCTTTTGCTGGGCAATCGTGTTCGCCTGTATTGCCGCTGCCATCTGCTGTTGCAGCTGCTGATGTTGATGTTGCTGTTGGGCCTGTTGTTGCTGCTTTTGTTGTTGTTGCTGCTGCTGATGCTGCTGATGGGACGAGGGATTTAGCTTGGCAGCGTTGGGCATAGCGTAGCCCTTTACCGCCTGCGGCACCGGCTGGCTGTTGACCACCGTGGGGATGGAGGCGCTCAGCTGCTCCTGCATCTGGGCGAGGATCTCGTTGGTGGAGCTGAACTTCGGCTTGATTCCGCGCACCGAGGGACGCTTGTTGAAGCCGTAGTCGTTCTGCTCGTCGTCGTCGCTGCTGTCTTGCGATTGGTCCGCCCCTCGCGTGTAGCGCTTCTTCAGCTGTTCGGTGCGCTTGGCCTCCGCTTGGGCGAAGACGACAAGTTCGTCCTGCTCGGGCCTGCTGGCGGCCTCCTGGCCGGGTGTACCGGCGATGACATCCGGCACCACCTTCCTCACCTCCTCTGAAGCTTCGCCTGAGCCTGCACCTGCACAAGCCCCAGTCCCAGGGCCAACCGCACCTGATATAGGTCCGGCAGCCATGCTGCCCAGGTTTTGTGCTGCCATGGCCGCGGCGTGCTGCGCCACCGGGTCCCCGGTGACTGCTGCAGCTGTGGCCGCGCCCAGGAGCTGGCCCATGTTGAAGTCGGCAGTGGCGGCGACTGCGTAGGTGGCGGCATGGGTGTGGCTATGGCCGTGGTTGTGGGCGTGGGCGCCGGCGGCCAGGGTGTAGTAGGAGGACAGGTCGTCCTTGTTACCAGCCACGCAGGCGGTAAGCGGAGCCAGGGTGGAGGAGAGGAACTGGCGCTTTGGCTCGGTTTGGCGGGGCGGGGTGCGGTGGATCTGGGTGTGGACAACGGGCACCTGGATGCCCATGCCCAGGTCGGGTGCAGCCGGACAGCGACACTCCTGTGGAATGGATCAAGCAGAGAGATTCGGTTTGGGATAAGCTGGAACATGTGAGAGAAACACTCCACCCACCTGGGGTATGATGACAATAGGGTTCTCCTCCAGCTCCATGATCTTCTCCTGCTTCTTGTCGCGGTTAAATATGTCCGCAATCTTTTTGTAGGCCGACGATCCACTCGAGGAGCTGGACACCGAGCTGCTGGGCGAGAAACTCTTCTCCCCGTTCATGAACTTCTGTCCCGCGGTGTTGCTGGGCGCCGGGTTGGGATTCTCCGCGCCGGCGGGACTGTCGCGCTGGGCCAGATCGTCGGAGCCGCGCTCGCTGGGGTCTGGGTCCTCATCGACGTTCCGGGATAGCTCTTCGGCCAGATCCTCATCGATATCGCAGGTTAGCTGCTTGATGCGGTCCTCCAGCGATATGTCCGACTTGACTGCCTTTTTTCTGCAAGTGGGATGGCATGATATGGCTAGTTTTATTAGCGAAACTGGCGAGTGGGGTGCTGACTACTCACTTGATCAACGAGCGGCGAAGGATGTTGCGCTCCATGCTGCGACGCAGGGTGTCTGAATCACCGCAGCTGCCGGGCAAGTGGGTCACGAGGCAGCCGGCCCGCTTCGACTCGTCGAAGGCTCGCAGGGCCTCCGAAGTGAGGACGGGGGCCTGGTGAGCGGAAACGCTGGGGAACAGCTGTCGCACCGCCGAGTTGGGGCGCAGAGCGTTGTTGAAAAGTGTCGAGTGCTTCTTAATTGGGATTAGCTCGTTGATCTGGTTTTCGCTGTCATCAAAGTCCTCAGCTAGCGACTGGGCGTCGCTGTCGGCACCGACATTCGCCTGGTCCTCCGTCACAAAACGCACCGAGCGCTTCATGGTGCCGCTCTCCTCCTCCGAAGTGTTGTTCTGGTCATCCGACTGCTGCTCGAACAAAATTTTCGGTAGTTAATAGATTTGATTAGACAGATTGATTGTACTGGACAGTAGACTATATCACCTGGGAGATCGAATCCTGCTTCCAGAGCTTTCCCCCCTTCAGTATGCCGCTAATTTGGGTGGGCGACATCTCCTTAGGCGGAATGGGCGGTGGCATCTCCTCCTCGAATGGCTGTTGCTCTGGTGCGGTAGATGCTGCGGTGACAGCGGCAGCACCGGCTGCCGCTGCTATCGTGGAATTCGTCTTGGCTGGCAAAGCGGGTGGCTGCAAATCCGCATTTGGGGCAGCAGCTGCGGGAATGGCAGAGGGATCCACACTTGCCACTTCCTCGTGTGCCTCCCGAATGATGCGCCGCTCGGTCACTGTGGTCATAGTGGTAATAGTTTCAACAACAAATCTTTTAATCTTGGGCAAGCTACTGACTCCCGGGACTGGTGCCGGTGGTGCTGAGCCATAGCTTTGGCCAGCGGGGGAGCTGGACTTGCCAACGCCCGAATCCTTTCTAGCTTTCACTGCTTAATGGCCACAACACATGGGACACGCACAACAAGAAACCGGCGACGAGCGGCATTCGTGGGGCAAAAGAGACCATTGCATTGGCATTGAGTAAGTGAGAGAAAGTGACAGAGGGCGGGATTGAGAGGCACTCGTGGATGTTGGATCGATGTTAGCAATGCGAGATCGTTATGTACACATGTATGCATGCATTTATGTATATATGTATTTATGTACATGTTAATGCTATGCACAAACGATCGTGCATACAAACCCGATGACAACGTAGAATTCAAATACTTTAAATGAGCACACAAATGAGTCAACCAATTGATTGATAATATGGTATCCATAACAATTCGATAACCAATGATCAATAAGGCTGCAAGTCTGGCTATAAAACAATATGCATACATTCATACATACATACATATGTAAATATGACACAGAAAAAATGAATATAATGTACTTATTTACATACATACATATGTATGATAGCTATCTTCAACTTTGGACATTAACTGAAAATATTCACCCTATCTGGACGTCCAGGTTTTACTTCATTACTTCATTAACAGTTGACAAAGTTAAACGAGAAGGAACGTGTGAGACGCATCTTACGCGTCCCAACTATTATACCCGGTACTCAGTCAAAGTACCTGTCCCATATTGTTTTTTATTGAATTTTATATGAATTTTACATATGACATTTTACATTTTTTCTACACCTGTCATCTACACCTACATAACTTCTCACGCCAACGCGATATTTTCCCCTCCCCTAGAGCCACACACTGCAAATCCACGCCTGAGACGCGAAAGAGGCAGAGATGCGGAAGAGGCAGAGGCCGCAAACTGCAGAAGCAGAGTGTGAATGAGAGAATGTGAAAAAAACAACAAAAGCTGCTGGACGGGGTGGGTTTAGCCACTGCAAATTAATTTCTTCAATGTGGCTATAATTATGATCAAATCGGATCCCAATTTGGTGATTTTATAGATATAGTTTTTAATTTTCTTTTATCTTCAAAATTGTAACTTTGTGAGGTTTTCGCCCTTTGCGGGGCCGGAAGGGGGTGGGGCTCATTTTTTAAATACACTTGTAACAGTGTGAGCATACAGAAGTCTGGATGCAAAATTTTGTGGCTCTAGCTCCTATAGTCTTTGAGTACTAGGCGCTCATCAGGACAGACAGACGGGCGAACAGACAGACATGGCTCAATCGACTCCTGCTCTGTCAAATTAATGTCTTGATTAAAACACAACATATGTATCACAAGTCCGTGTGTGCATTCACATGTACAATAAAACATAGTACATACATACATGTATAAAACTACTCAAACTTAGCCTCAGTGATTGCGAAAGACAAAACAGTGACATTCCTTGTATTAGATACTCGTACTTTGAACTACATTTGGGTTCTGCTTTCCATTTTGTGGCAGAAAAAAAAGAAAAAATCTGTATCCAATGCGAAATTTCGACAAGGGCACCCATTAAACGTTCTGACGCTGTCGCTGACCTCGACTGGATGGGATTTTCTCAATGCCACAACGCCCGAGACTGGGCCACTCTGGATCACCGTGATTGCATGGATGGGGGTCGCTCAATGGAAAAACCTGCAACGTGCATAATGGATGCAAGGAAAATGGGAATGGATCCCATCCGGCTTGAGATTGTGGGATTGGGGTACTGGGGGAGGGTGGACTGTGGGGTGCATTGGTGGTACTGTACCTGCAGTGGGCGATGCCTTGTGCTGGGACTGCAGCACATACTTGGGCCGCTCCTCGCCGGCAATGATCTCCTTCTGGGTGATGCGACGCTCCGGTGAACTTGTGTGCAGGGGCAGCAGGGCCACTGCCGGCACCCCCAGTGGCGTCATCTCCTCTTGGCACTGCGGGGAGGCGCATTCTGGAAATCGAGGCGAAGCCGCATAGCCGAAGTTGATTAAAGCAACATATCAAATTATGAATCGAATGCAAAGATTTGTATACTCGTATGGACCCATTTCCGGTGCTGTGTGCTGCGGAAGTGTATGTATGTAGCTATGGGTAGGTAAATATTTACAAATGTATGTGTATGGACTTGTTGCATTCGCGGTTCGTCAGGCGCAACAATTAATGACAAACTCTGCTCAGACAAGCCAACGGACTGACTGAATGACTGTCCCGCTTTCCTCCGCGTTCGCGTTCGCACCGGTCCGACCCATTAATTTTCTGGTTGACAGTCAATGAAGCGCAACAAGCGACATTAATGCAAGTGTATGCGATCGTGCACTCAAATTCTCCCTTGAAAAGTATCATTCTAGGGGTTAAGCCAAGACTTGACATTACATCAATCCATAAATTTCCCTTGAGAATTTCCCAATTCCATCGCAATCTTCATCTTCGCCACAAAATGAATTGAGGTGAATCGGCAGTGAGTTTGGCTAGACATGTATGTGGATCTGGCAGCTGTAGCCCTCACCAGAACTCACGTAAATGAAACGCCTCCGATATCCCTCCCTGGCTGCTTACCTGCTTCCTGTAGTTGCTTGGCGGCGCACTCTGCGCACTCGGCACACTCCGTGCAGACGCCCTGCAGGTCCTCCTCCGACTGTGGCTTCTGTTGCTGTGGCTGCTGCGGCTGCTGTTGTTGCTGCTGGGCACTGCCCACGGGCGGTGGTGGCGGCGGTATCTGAGTGGTAATGTTACGGGCGGCCAGCATAGCTGCGCGCTGCTGCTGCAGGCGCTGGATCACTTGCAGCTGTTGCAGATGCTGTGCTCCGAAGATGTGGCCACTCAGCGCGCCGCCGAGTGTGTTCTTCAGACTGCTGTCCTTGTAGCCGTCGGGCGGGCTCAGCGCAGCGTCGTCCACAAACTCAATTGGCGGCTGATATTTGGGACTCTGTGTAAAATAAAGTAGAAGAACAAAAAGAAAAACAGAGAAGGAAAAGGAAAAGGAGGAACACATGTTAGTTTGCGCATAGTTCAAGTCAATTTGTGTTATTATTTGCTGGATTAAGGCCGCAAATCGCATTAAAATACATCAATCCAGCAATCGCCAGTCCCATTCGGATTCACCAAAGTCTACCGAAAAGTGAATATGGCCATTAAAGAACCATACAGCCATCCAACATGGCGGAGGGACAAGGTGCAATGATATTTATACCCGCTACTCGAATATTTAAACCCACCGGGTTTATAGCATTTGTGGGCGAAAAATAAATCAGGCAGAGTAAAACGTTTCTGACCCTATAAAGAATATATATTATTTATCAGTATCAAAAGCCGAGTCGAAATAGCTATGTCTTTTTGTCCTTCCGTCTGGTGCAGATGAGCACCTAGAACACAGAGACCACACTGAATCAAGTTAGAAAATCTCCTATATACACAATTTTAAAGATGAGAGAAAATTACAAAACGCAATTCCATATAAATTGGCCATATCTATCGATACCTGAATTATGATTGGCTCAGATCATTATTATAGTCAGAATGAAAAAATTCATATGCAGTGGCTTCCCCCACAACTTCCACCAGCTTTGCTTGTGCTTGCTTATTGTTGTCATTCTATCTCGCTCGCAACCTCTGCCTCATGTAGTGTGCGGTTCTGGGGGGGGACAGCTGCAGAAAACATTTTACAAGTTACATACATATGTATGTATACATATACATATGTACATATGTATCACACTAAGGTTACTTACATATTAATGTACATATTTATATACTGACTGAGTGCCATGTATAAAAGCTGTGACGCATACGAAGCGTCTCACAAGCGTTCCTACTCGTTTTATGGTGAACATAAAACTATCAACAAAATTCGTCTCATTTGGTTTAAGAATGACTCTGATATCTTCTGATACATTTATTTGAATTAAAACCAGGTTTCGGCATGGCCATAACCCTTGTGCACGGGAAAAGCTTATTTTTTGCTCAAAAATAAAATTCAACTTTCAATTTTCACTTATTCTTACGTAGTAAATGGAAAAGTTATATTTATTCTTCATCAGTGAGACAAGATAAACCATAATAACCCACTTTAAACACACAAAAAAAAAATTTCAGTTTTATTTATTTATATATGTATGTATACTTATGTACATATTCAATATTTAATTTTGCAAAAAGCAGCTTCTACTCCAAACAAAAGTGGGCAGTCATATTCGGCAAATGAGCTCATCAACAACATAAGCAATAAATGTTTTCGTAAATGCTGCGCCGAAAGATAAGAGATCTTAGCCCTCTTATGCGTGTGGCTGCTCTTGGCTATGATTATCTTGTATGTTCGTACATACAGCTGTGTTGAATGAAATAGTAGTGAGCAGCTTACCATTTTCCCAACTGTTTTTCGGATATTTCCGTCAGCCAAATTTAACAAGTGCCAGCTCTATGGAAAGCCAAAGCCATGCATTATAACCCAGTAGAAATCAAGCTAATTTTGTATTCCATCTTGCTCTTTTTCGTGAAAGGGTCGCCTGGATTGGGTCAATAAAGTCAAGCTTCGATACGAAACAAGAAGATGGAATGCAAATGTAATATTGTTTTTTCGGGTTTATAATGTTAACGTTCCAGTCTGTTCAAAAGGGTATCACTTGCTTAATTCGAAAGACTGGAAGGGCCTTAAAAAGAGTTGAGAAAGTGGTAAGCTGCGGCTATTTTTCATTGAACACAGCTGTGTTTATGTATGTTCATGCATATGAAATAAATGCTCTATTTATGAAGCTTATCTGAAATCTTATCTTAAGTCAAAGCTTAATTGCATTGGTGCATTCGTTGCTTTGCGCATTCTTATCACGTTGTTAAAATGGGCCGCAAGCGTAACTGTCTTTCGCTTATTCTTTTTACTTTTAACAATGAAAGTAATATTTCGGAGTGAAAATTTTGCAGGAATTATGCCTGCATATGCCTAATATGCAAGCGAGTTGGTGGAAGAGAAGAGTGAAGTTCCAGAAAAAAATTCAATTTTCAGTGACGATGTGCCCAAGTGAGGTACAGGATGCATGTGTTGATCGCGTGACCGCTCAAAAATGCCGTTTTCCGAACTCAATTCAGAGAGCTTCAAAGTTCTTACAAGCCAGATTTTTAGTGGCCTGCAAATGCCTGCAGTTACGTCAATCAATGTCGCTATCTTGGTAGACGAAAAGTACGAAAAAATAAAAATAAAAATTGACTGACCGAATGCTATGCCTGAAAATGGACACAGCCACTAGACTGAATCGGGGCATGTTAGGCATAAATGTCCAATATTACTTTGGAGGTGAAAATGTTTTTGGCCATAATAAAAGTATTTAGAAGACATTCAATGTAAGAAAAGTGCAAATATACTCGATAACAACAGACAATGGCCGCAACATGATCAAGGCAGTGGAGCTATTAAGTGATTGTTCGCCATCAGTAGATGCCAGTAGCAAGTTGGATATAGCAGATGAGAATTGGGATAACGAGGCACTGTTGAAGGACGCAAATATATTTTCAATATCCTCAATAAAATGTGCAGCACCTACACTGCAACTCCCTGTAATAGATTTTTACAAACACGTAGATTCCCTTGACTTCGTGGAGAAAGCTAGGAAAATTTTTAAGATTCTAAGAACTCCGTCATACAGGTGGGTTTTGTTTGTTTTTTTTTTTTTTTGTACGGGCGCTGCCTCTGCCTCTGCCGCGACTCTGCAGTGTGTGGGTCTAGGGAAGGGCGGCGAGCTAAAGGAGCGTGTTAGTGTGAGAAGTGTTGTAGATGTAGATGACAGTTGAAGAAAAAATGTAAAATTTGACGTAAGAAGCGTCCACACGTCCCTTCTCGTTTTTATTGCAACTAATCAATTTTGATTTTCTAAGGTCTCTAATATAAGCTAAGTCACCAAGAAAGAGTAAATGTAACTCGAACAGCTTCCCGAAGGCCAACATCCCTCTTCTTTCATGCTTTTTGAACGCATAGGCGAACGCATAGGAGAAAAACGAGAAGGGACGTGTGAGACGTTACTTAAGCGTCACAACTTTTACACCCGGTACTCAGTAATACATCTGCACCTTAGCGGTTTTTTTTAAATATGAAATGTTTTCTACATCTTTCATCTATATCTAAATACATCACTTCTCAAGACAAGACGCTCTTTTAGCTCGCCCCCTCCCTAGGGCAGCACACTGCAGAGGCAGAGGCCGCACACTGCGCAAGGCAGAATGTGTGAACAAAAAATAAATTCAGCTGGACGGGACTGCAGTGGGACTGCAAATTTATTTCTTCGTTCTGGCTATAATAATGATCCAATCTGATCCCAATTCAGTTATCTGATATATATAATCATTCCCTACGGAATGGCGTTTTTAGTTTTCGTTTATCTTCAAAATTGTGGCTGTGGGAGATTTTCGTCCTTTAGGTGGCAGAAGGGGGCGGGGGCTCATTTTTTAAATTCACTTGTAACAGTGTGAGCATACAGAAGTCTGGATGCAAAAGTTGGTGGCTCTAGGCGCTCAATAGGAAGGAAAGACGGACTGACAGACATGGCTATATAGGCTCTGGTATTGATTCTGATCAAGAATATATATACTTTATGGGGCGGAAACGTTTCCTTCTGTGCGGTAGATACATCCACTTTGTGCACAAATTCAAAATATTTACTATTTACTCTTCGAGTACCGGGTATAAAAAAAGAGGAGGAACGTTGTGAGACGCGCTAGAACGGTGGTCAACTTATATATCCGGTACGTAGTCGGTACATACGTACGTATGTATGTGCGTATATATATTTATGAGTCAGAAACGTTTCCTTAGTGTTTTTTTTTAAATTTTACAAATTGTACACCGGTTATAAACGTTGTGACGCGTAAGAGCGTCTCACACATCCCTCCTCGTTTTTTTCTGGGGTAGCTGAGTGTTATGCAACGCCTTCTGTAAACTTTTAAAATCCACTAAATGCATATTAAACTCTTCAGGCCAGGGCAGGACGGTGCAGGACGAACATGGCCAGACTTGGCCGGATAAATGAGGGAGAACATTCTTGAGCAGCCCCAAGTGAAGAGCCTTGGGCGACTGCTAGAAGAGTAAGGCGAGGCAGACAAGGCAGGCCCCACCGGTCCGACCCGACCCGACCCCGACAGCGATAATAAGCAAACAAGCGGTGCACTTAAGTGACGCTTATGTGGCAGCAAATTGAAATTTAAACGCAACTCAAGGGGCGCTCAGGATCGATACGGACAAATGAATGCATAAAGGTACATATGCACATACGTATGTGTGTTTGTCTGTATATTTGAAAGTGTTCATGTAGGTGTGTCTGTGTGCATCCGTGTAGTTAGGAGAGGATGATATTAACGAAGGAACAAGATAGGAATGTCCGAATCAAGAGAGTAGCTAAAATTCCGACTGCAACTTTGCTTTCCCAATGTCCTTAAAACATAAATGCGCCCATCATGAAAGCACGCACGCACACACTTACGGACCACAGCACAAAACAATATATTGTACATACATGTGTATGTACAAACTTGAATAGATGTACAGCGAGAGAGAGAAAGAGAGAGTTCGACAACGGCAACAATGATATTGCCGCTGCAGTTTTGAGTTACACTTACTGCCACAAGAATGCCTTTTGAACAAAAGATTTAAAGTGATTTATGCACACTTGCCTCCCAAGGAGGAAGAAGGGAAGAACTTGTAGCGCTTTGCAGCCGACACAGATTCATACACATACAGATGCACATATGCACATACAGATGCGAGTCTTGCGGTATTGACTTCCGCTCTGAAGCGGAGCTTGGAGGGAGAAGACAGCAGGACAGTCCCGAAAATGGGGCTGTGCTTATTGCAGCTACAATTTTTCACACATTAGTAATCAACATGAAATGTGTCACAGTGTTACAGGGGCTACTGGAAGGAATAAAAGCCATTAAAAATAGGTCCCAGTTACACGGTTATGCTCAAATATTTTCTTCTGGTGTCCTTCAAAGAAAGCGAAAGGAGGACAAGCAAACAATGTATGCGAACTTGCGCAAAAATCATGTGAACTTGATCGCGAAAGGCTATTGCACGTACATATTAATAAGTCTAGTTCAAGGTATTCCGAGTTTTCCAGACCATTCAATATGTGGGAATGTGTGTGAAAAGCTTCCTTTCGACTGAATCAGGGTTGGTCAGGCTACAAAAACTAGAACCTGAAGCTGGACCGAGCATCTGTAGAACTCTAATTGAGTCCTAATTAATGGTAATTATGTAATAAATAAAAACGAATGATGTTCGCACTGCCTTCGACTAGTCATGGAAATATTCTGCTCATAAAAAGGAGTACTTTGACATCTTGTGCAAAAAATACAAAACCCGGACGAGTCAGCAAGGAACGGCGTTCAGAACTTTGTTGGATATTGCAGCAGTGTGGACGGGGTTTGGGCCCTGCGGCTCTGGTGGCAATCTGGAGCGAGACCCCGAGTGACGACTAATGCGCCTACAGGTAGTTGCTGTTGCTTTTGCTGTTCGAGTGGGAAATCCAATCTGTTTCCGTTCTCCCCCCGTTTAAGCTATCTGCCCTAGTGCATCGTGCACTCATGCACTCACCTGTGGAGTTCGTCCATCGCCAGCTTCAGCGGCATTGACGGCGTAGTTGCACTGGCATCCCTCCTCGCAACAGAGCCGAACCAGCTCGTGCTCGCCGCAGGTGCAGGGCTCCTCGTCCTCCTCATCGTAGGCACAGTCTTCACGGATCAAAATAATGTAGTCCGCCTCGAAAAACTCGTTGCGCGTCTCATCGAATACCACACGGTTCTTGCGGACCGGCGGTGGTCGATTTGGTTTCTTCAGAAGGCCACGCAGCTGACCGTTGACCTCGCGCATATTCAGGCCGTCTTCGGATGCTGCTTCCGTAGCAAAGACGGGCGGACTGGATGAGTTCCTGGTTGTTATTGTGGAAGCGGTGCTATTGCTCTGTGATATCCCTCTGGCCGTGTTCTGCTGGCTGTCCTCCAAGCTGGCTAGGCACTCATGGCACTGGCATGTGCTGTCTTTGTCGTTTTCGTTATCGCTATCGCTATCGTTATCGCTATCGATTTCGATGTCGTACTCCTGTTGCTCGCTCACGAACTCTGCCAGCAATTCGTCGTAGCACTGAAAGTTTCCAGCCTTATTTTTAACCTGACTATGGACCTGTGAAGTCTGCCTCCGATGATGAATACGTGTGTTATTCAGACTCGGAATCTGATTCTGATTCTGATTCAGGCGCTGGATCTGGTTTTCGTCCTGTTGTAGTATAATGGCAATATCGACCAACTGCAGTTGACGGGCTGCTGTTAGGTACTCGCTGAACCGCTGCACATCGAACTCGCTGAGTGGTGTGGCAGAGGTGATTCCAGTGGCGGACTTTTCGTGGCTAAAACCAAAGCGGCCGCCGTCACAGGCTTGGGTCGGCACAAATGCGCTTCTAGTGGCTATGTCCGTCCCCGTCTGATCGTCGCTGTCCGTGTCCGTATCTGTTTCGATTTCAATCACCACTTGGTCGCTGGCAGCTGCCAATGTGAGCTCCTCAAACTGGCCTGCACTCTGACTCTCTCCGCGCCGACGCAGTGGCGACTCGGGACGCGGATTCAGCGAATGTTGCTTCTGCCGTTCAGCTGTTTGTCCAAGCACTGAGGTTTTCTCGCTCTGGCTTGACGATGGCTCGACTCGAATGCAATTTGGATTTAATTGAATTGCACTTGAGTTTGCCACGGCTGCACCTTCATCGGCGGCAGTTTCCTTAACTATTTTATTGTCTTCATCAGGCTGATATTTCGGGGGGCACTGGCGTGTCGTGGCTTTCAAGGTTGTGGCTGTCGGACTCTGGCTGGGGCTGGGGTTGGTGTTGGGATCTACTCCTTTCTCTGAGGGTAGTTTCTTTGTTATGCCTGTTGTTTTCTGCTGTTGCTGTCGTTGTTGTTCGGGCCTCAGGGATGCCTTTACACAATCAATGTTGCTGTTGCTGCTCACGCGTCCCTGAAAATTGTATTGCAAACGTTTCAGCCGCTGACTGGCTACAAAATCCTCGCCCAAATCGTTCTCAAAATCAATGAGATCGTCGTGCTTGCTGCAGCTTGTTGCTGTTGCTGTTGTAGTTGCTGATTCTGTTGTTTTACCTCTGATGCCGTTCTCCCTCGAGCCAAATCCAAAATATATGGCAGATACAAACGGCTCCAATGATTCACAGTCTACGAGCTTCTCATTTTTCTCAACTGCTGCAACTGTAGACGAATCCCAGAGTTCTGATTTCAAGTCCAATTCCAGCAATTCTTTCTGCTCTGTCGCGCCGCTTTCCTGTGAGTCTTCGCGGCGTTGGCTCCTTCTGTCAGTTACTGCTGCTACGGGGGGCTGCTTCGGTGGCTGGTCTGGGGCGGCCTTGTTGTTTGTGACGCTTTTCACGTAATCCACGTAACTACACGCAAAAAAAAAGGGGACACTTTGTGGTGAGCGGAAAACGGCAACACCAGCAACATTATCGGCACTGCCAGCCAAGGATAAATTGGGGGGGTCTGGCTTCGAATGTGGAAATGACAATGGCGCCTGCCTCTCCTTCGGCTGTTTCTTCTGCTGCTCCTTGTTTTTCTTCGACTTGTGGTAGCTGTGGCAGCTCACGGATGTTGCTCTTACTGCTGCTGCAGCTTCTTCTTCTCTGGCACTTTGCACATTTTCACAAATATAAAAAAAATCACCCACCACGCAGGCAGACCATGCGTTTTTCCCGATTTTTTTCACAAATTTTTCTGTACGTCGCGCGCCGTCGTCGCATTTGGAATTGGAGCTGGTGTCGAGGTCGGGCTCGTGGTCTGGGTCGGGGTCCACGTCGTGAGCAGAGAATCTTCTCTCTGTCGCACAATGGTGCTCTTCCGTTTCCGTCTGGCCAGAGCAGGGTTCACCACGCGGAGTAACCTGATTGATTTCCTCACAATTTTCACCAGAATTGGATAGTTTGCACAAATTTGAAGATGCGATAAAACGCTGCTGGTGCTGCTTTTGCTGCTGGTGCTGCTTCTGCTGCTCAGTTGAGACGACTGCCGCTGGGGTTGCTACTACAAGGTTGGCTCTGGAAAGCTCACTGCCAATTGTAGGTGTTGAGCAGGCGCTACACCCGTTGCCACTCTTTGTGATTCTGTCACTGCCACTGCCTCTGCTGGGTGGTTGTTGGCCAGCGTCTGCGCTCACTCTCTGGCTCTGGCTGTGACTCTGGATGTGGCTCTCACGCTCGACTTGCGCGTACTCACATTTCGTGGCCACTTCCGTTGCTGTTGCTGTTGTGTTGTTGTTTTTGTTGTTGTTGTTGCAACTGTATACAGCACGCGCACGCGCGTGCGTCAATATGTCACTCAGTACGTCATTCGCTCCCACTGTCGCTGACTGGCACGCCCCAAGCCGCTGCTCTTGTACCAGTCCCTGCCCCACCAACTGGCCGCTCAGCTGTATCCATGTCCGCTGAAGCGCCTCGCATGGTTCGCCGTCAGCGGCATTGTCTAGGGCGCTGCGTGCCTTGCCTACTAAATGACCCTCGCTCGGGCCTAGTCCACCATTAGCCATGTTGGGCGCTCCTGTTTCCCTGCCACAACTGCTATCATTTCCAGTGCCACTTCTACCGTTATTGTTGCCCCTCTTACAATATTCACTTTCAGTGTGCTTCTGGCTCTGGCTGGACGCTTTGTTGGCCACATTAAGTGTCATTTTGCTACAAGTTGAGCCATCATCCACCTCCCGCTCTCTGTCGCGCTCCAAGCCAGTCGCCAGTGCCAGCGTCAGCATGTCCACAATCAGCATGCTGAGTACTGCCGAACCATCACAATGTGAGCCATTCAATCAAAGTTTTGGGGAGAGAGAGGAGGCGCAAGCCAGGAGCCGAACTAATAGCACACCACTAATGGGATCGACTTGGAGTCGCTGGCCGCTGGCGTGTGTGAATTTTCCTTATTGGCAGTTCCCACAACCGGTAATATATAATTTATATAAATTCTTCACTTCATTTTACATAAATTAAAATACTTTCCGTTTCCAAGGTTCACAGCTCAGACAAGCACGTACCCACCCTTTGGAGGGAATATTCGTTGCTGGCATCACTTATCGTTGTCACTTGCTGCAAGACCGGTCTTAAGTGGAGAGTGAAAGAAACAGGTGCAACAGGGCAGTGAAGCGCATCCTAGGAAAAAGTACAGGACAAGCGCTGCCGCAACTCTGCTCGCGGCTAACCGTTACGCGCCACTGCGTACACACCACCGAACGAAGGGACAAAAAAAAAAAAAACCAAAAATATTGAAACATAAAAATGTTCGAGCTATGTACATATGCGCTGGCTTCCTCTTTCTCAACTTCTTAATCTAGCGGTGTTTCGTTCTCTGCTGTTAACACTGCGCACGTCCGAGCGCTTTTCGTGACGGAAGTCGACTGAGCGAAAGTAGACGCAGCCGCGAATGGAAGAAGGTCCGCCACAGCGCAAAAGTCTTCTACTTCGTCGCGATCTCGGGTTCGTGCTCTTCCACGGTCTCTACCGTGGCCGCATGCGCAACGGCAGAGGCGAAGAGACGTTTCAATGACACAGGGGGACAGCTCGCATTCTCGGTAGTACTCGAATGGGGCAGGGACCGGGGTATGCTGGAATTATATAAGGTAGTCAACTATCTATGCCAATAATAAGTGTGAGTGAAAGGGTTCTGCATAGTAAGTGTTTGTGAAGTGACAGTAGAGGGGGCTGATGGATTCATTTTTTTTTAATTTAATTTTTTTAATAAGTTACTAGAGCTAATGTGTTAGAAAAACTTCGTCCGCAAACAACCTTTCACGTCAACAAGCAACACGCACTGAAAAACAATTAATCGATGGCCGACGATTCGGCATGCGACGAGACCACCTTGTATAATTGCATCATGGACCGGGGTAGGTTCGTAGCCAAAGCAGAGAGTAACAACTACGCTAGGGGCCCGATCCCTTGATGGCCACAACTCGGACAGCACTCTCAACCGGCCGAAGAAGTGCCCATCGCCCAGGCATAGAAAGTGTAGATTCGGATGATCGTGATTATAATGAAAGCAATTAGACAGCAGCGCTCACTGCATACGGTAATGAGTGCTAGTGCACAAGTGTGTCACTCCCATTAAATTACACAGATCAGGCACAAACCAGCGACCATCAAATTACCATTCGAGTACCTAGTAAATGCATTGGGAACAAATTATATCCTAAATGAAGCTGGGTCCCGCTACCTCTGTTTCTGAAAATTTTACCTAATCCTTTAGCCTTTAGCATATTAAGTGTACCAATTAAAGCAGGATTCTAGACCAAGTTTCAATAACTTTAAATAAAACAAGGAAGGACGTGTGAGACGCTTCTTACGCGTCACAACTTTATACCCGGTACTCAATAGTACGTTAGTTTTTTTTTTTAATGTTTTACATTTTACATTTTTTTACATATGTCATCTTCATCTCTATCACTTCTCCTACCCCTGTATCAGTATTATATCACAGCACTCTGGAGGCAAAGTTCGGTAGCTCTAGCTCTTATAGTTTCTGAGAACAGGCCGACAATAGAGACGGACAGACAGACATGGCCATATCAATTCGGCTATTGGTGCTGATCAAGAATATATATGCTTTATGGGGTCGGAAAAGCTTCCTTCAGTGCGTTCCATACCCTGCAGTACGGGTCAACGATGTGTAAGCGACGACACATCGTCATACCGACGATGCCAGCGTCATTTACCCATCCTACATAAGCGATGATTAGTAAGTAAGCGATGACGTGTCATCGTGAGCACACCGATTTATAACTGATAAATTTCCCTTAGAACTAATGCCCTAATAAGTAATGCATTTTTCTTTGTTCTTTCACAGAACCTTTTAGTTAATCTGCGGTTAGCCCGAATAATTTTTTTTGAGTGCTCTTCACCTGAATCACCTCTGAAATTAAATGAACTAATTGATATATATGTATGTACATACATATGTATGTAAGTTTTTTTTTGTTGCTTTTTTGTTTGAACTTACTCTTAAAGAAGAAGTAGAAGACATCGTTCACATAACGATATCGTTCACATAACAGAACACGTAGTAAAAAGCCTGCCAAATAAAATGCATCAAACAAATTTGATCAGTTAATCGTATTTTCCAATTTATGAGATATTTAAAACAGCAATAAAATTGGTACTTTTTCCCTGCACATTCTGTGCAATAATGACCGCTAGGTTTCACAGGTTTCTTTGATGGTCACTCTTTTTGTAATCCAGAGCGTTAGAACACGAGTTTGGTTTTAACTTTTAAAAATTAGCTTTTGGCCACTGTTTCCGCAACTCCTCGCAACCAGTTCGGAATCAAAATCTCGAAATAAAAAGCCAAGTGCTGCTGGTTCGACCGAGTCGGAATTCAAATCAATTGAATCTCTTCTTTTCAATTTCGATATTCACCTATTAAATGCACGTTCTTCCTCTTTCACTATCGTATTCACATATTACATGTATGTTCTATAGCAACAAACTTCTGTGAGTATGTCGTAAATGCAACAATTCAATATCTTAATGCTACAAATTCATTTTACTTATAAAAAATACTAATTGCTCCCGGCCATAAGCCCTTTGCGCTAATTTGGCGTAAACAGCCACCAAAACTGGTCATTGGGACAATAGTGCATCTGCACCTCAGCGGTGTTCTGTCAAAATTTAAATTTTTTCTTCATCTGTCATCTACATCTACAACACTTCTCACACCAACACGCTCGCCGCCCTTCCCAAGTCCCACATAATGCAGACTCGCGGCAGAGGCAGCGATCGGACAAGAAAAAAAAAAACAAATATAAGCTGCGGGACGGGGTGGGTTAAAAGTCGTAAGAGGAATCGGCAGGGGGAGGGCAGAGGCAGGGGCCAAGCGAAGCAGAAGCAGAGTGTGAATGAGAGAATGTAAAAAGAGCAAAAAAAGCTGCGAGACAGGGTGGGTTTAGCCACTGGAAATTAATTTCTCCATTGTGGCTATAAAAATGATCCGATCGGATCCCAATTTGGTGATCTGATAGAATATATGTACTTTATGGGGTCGGAAACGCTTCCTTCTGTGCGTTGCATACAACCGTTATTCCCCACAAATACAATATACCCTATTTATCGAGTACCGGGTATAAAAAGAATTTACAAAATCAAAGACAATTATGTATGTACCTGCTCGACTTTAGAGTTGCTTTTCTTTTTTGTTTTTGTTGTTCGACCGTATGCAAACTGAAATTTCGTGTAAAACGCAAATAATTCAGATACAATTTGATACAATTATTTAAATGAAACACTGAACCGAAAATGTTATGTTACGCACCGAGAGGAAACGAAAAAAAAACTACGAAAACGAGATGGGACGTGTGAGACGCTTCTTACGCGTCACAACTTTTATACCCGGCACTCAGTAATACATCAGCACCTTAGGTTATTTGGCAAATTATACATTTTTTCGTTATCTGTCATCTAAATCTAAAACACTTCTCACACAAACACGCTCCTTTAGCTCGTTGCCCTTCCCTAGATCCACACACTACAGACTCGCGGCAGAGGCAGCGACCGCACACAAAAAATAAAAACAAATATAAGCTGTGGGACGGGGTGGGTTAAAAGTCGGCAGAGGCAGAGGCAGAGGGACGTCAGAGGCAGGTGCCGAGTGAAGCAGAAGCATTTCATTTCATTTCTTCATTTTGGCTATAATAATGATCCAATCGGATCCCAATTTGGTTATCTGATAGATATGGTGATTCCCTACGGAATGGCGTTTTAAACCCCGGTACTCGAAGATTAAATAGGATATATTGTATTTGTGTGAATAACGGTTGTAAGTAACGCACAGAAGGAACCGTTTCCGACCCCATAAAGTATATATATTCTTGATCAGCATCAATAGCCGAGTCGATTGAGCCATGTCCGTCTGTCCGTTCGTCCGTCTGTCCGTCTGTCCGTCTTGTTTGTCCGCTAGTTCTCAGAGACTATGAGAGCTAGAGCCACCAAATTTTGGATTCAGACTGCTGTATGCTCACACTGAAACCAGTGTATTAAAAAATTAGCCCCGCCCCCTGCCGCACCCGCAAAAGGGCGAAAACCTCGCAAACCTACAGTTTTGAAGATAAAAGAAAACTAACGAGAAGGGACGTGTGAGACGCTTCTTACGCGTCACAACCCGGCACTCAGTACAAAATCTGCACCTTAGCGGTTAGTTGTCAAATGTTATATATTTTTTCATCATCTGTCATCTACATCAACAACACTACTCACACCAACACGTTCCTTTAGTTCGCCAGCGCCGTAATATTTTTTTTACAGATATACATAGGAATAACATCAATCCGTAATGTTACGTACCCAAAAATTAACGGTGCGCACCCCTGTTAGGATAACAGCTGTTAAAGTCAGCTGTTTGCTACGATCGATAGAAAGTTATCGGAAAACTAATTTTGTTCATGAAGTTTAAAGTGCAAGAATTGACAAATTTACAGGTATTAAAGAAGTGTTTGTGAGTTTGAAATTAAACAATTTAATGGCTAGTTTCTTAAGAAGTCCATATTTGTGACGAAAATTTCTCTTTGAATAGACTTACAAAGTGTTCGGTTCCCGGAAGCATTAAACTGCATTGTTATTGTTGAGTATTCAATTCTTGATCCAATTTTTGTTATTTTTTCTTGCGCTTTTCTGCTTTTCTGCAAAAGTTGGGATTTTCGGAGTTGTTTGCAATGAGTGAAGAAGAAAATTGCAGAAGAAGATGCCGATTTGCATTGAATTCAAGTGTTAATACCTGTCACTAGCCTTGATAACTATAAGGGTTATTTGTAGACCCTTCGAAGAAATTTTATTTACAGTTTGTCAATTCATCAACAAATCGCAAAAAACTGTGCAGATTGGCTAAATTCGTGCTCAATTTTACAATTATAATAACGTCGAGACATTTCCAGTATCTCTGGACTGCCTTGCTGAGTGCTATTGTGTCCCACATTCAACAACTCAAAGGAAAGAAGCTGCTTGCAGTATACAAAGAAGTCAATATAAAAAGCCGATTATCTTCTACTTTTCCATTTTTAAAAGTCCAGCCACAACTTTTGAAGTAAAATATGGCATTGCTTTACAACTTCCCATCATTTTTTGTTTGATTCAATTTAAAAATAAAATAAAAATTCGAATTTACCCTGAAGAAAAAGCGGTGGCACGCCCATTTTTTCAACAAACCTTCCTTTCACTATTATAGACTCATATCAAAAAACTAAAT